GAAAGATGTGAGCAATCTCTCTGATATTTTTCATTACACAAAATTTCACCTTAAATTAACAGGTTATGCAGCCATTGGAAATTGATTTAATGCTCCTCATGCAAGACAGAATGAGACAACAAAGCAGATTTTTCATGACAGTTAAATTAGCCCAGGTAATGAGAGATTTTCTAAACCAGGTACTACTCCAAAAGTTTCTGTGCCGTCTCCACAGTGGTTTTGAGACTCCCACTGGCTGCTTCAGATTTAATTTTCTAGTTTCACTTGCTCTGTGAAGTTCATTGTGTTCTCAGTCCCTCATGCCATCCACACATAAAGTCCAGGGGATGAAGTCTTCTATAAGCCTTATCTGCTTAAGTTTTGTTCAGACCATAAGGAGGTGCCTTGTGCTTCTCTGCTGAAAGCTCAGAAAATTCCTAAATATCCAAATGTCCTTCTCTTCATCTGATGCACAAAATTTCAATCTTTCCTTCACTGGCACTCTACATTTATGAATTCCCTCTGATCAGCACCTTTGCTCACAGCCTTACTTCACTAATTAAAATACCAGGTTGCTTTCCATTTCACTTGAGTTTTTCCAGTGCAGCTCATAATGACAACTTTTCTTGCATTACATGGAAAATAATTCATCACTCTTTTACAGAATTAGAAGGGATACGGAACTTTATCCTCTTTCTTTCTTCAAGAAACCTCCCTTGTAGGTTTATTTCTTTTTCATTCCTATCCATTGCCTGGGTTATTGTAGCAGTCACCTGGCCCACACACTATAATCAAGAAGTGTTAAGTCATCACCTCTACTTCTTATTTGTTTCTCTTGATTCCACAATTTTCAGTAATCTTTTGAAATACCTCATTGTAAAATTTAGAAATTAAAAACACCAATTTAGATGGCCTCACCAGCATGACACTTTAAATGTGCAGAAAAAAAAAAATAAAATAAATAAAATAATAAAAAAAATACATCTTCCATGGCTGTTCAACTTCCCTTTGCACCTCTCACATTTCCAATCATTTCCAATAAGGTTGCTCCATTTGAAAGACCCAGGACTTGCTCTTCCAGTGATGAATTTCACTGCTTACAGACACAGAAATCCCTGAGTGTTTCAAGGGGAGCTGTTAAACTCTCCCTAAAAGTGCAATGTCACAAGAACATAAAGCTTGATGGGACCAAAGGAGACCAATGTGTTCTCTCCCCAGCAAAGCAAAAGGTCAAATGTATCTTTCCCAAGGGCTTCCACGTTTTCTTAAAAACATCCAAAACCACACACAGAGCAGTAGCCTGTACCCTGTTCCTATTTAACCTACGCAAAATTATGAAATTATGATAATTTAATTCATTACTCTCAGTCTGATTTTCTTCTTTGAAAGGCTGTACAGATGAAATTGTGGAATTTCTTCTTGCTATTGAAAAAAACAACCTTCCCTTCTTCAAGATAAGAAGTTTTCCTCCAGTAAAGTTATCTAAATTCAGATAATTTTTACAGGTTCTCAAGATCAGCTTGAATTCTCATCTTATCATGTAGAGTACTTGCTTTGTATTTCTCCACAGAGCTCCTTGTACCACCTACACATGCATCCATCACTGAATCAATTCATAATGAAATTAAATCCTCTCTTGGAAGGGACTCCAATTAGACTCCTGTATGCAATATCATCACAGTCTGTCACTTTTCTACTGAGAGATGAATGTAAGGATACAATTGTTGAAGAATGATTGCTAAACTGTGCTTGAATTATTCTTATTTGCTTGAGAGAATGTCACAAAGACCAAGTATAAAGACATATTAAAATCAATGTGTCTCACATCTATCACCCTCTCTACCTATGCACTATAAGAGCATCATTTGATATTTTGCCAAATCTGATGCAATTGTAGTCTCCTATACTCGGAAATACAAACTTTTTTCAAAAAATGTCAAAATTTTTCTACAATGTCTTTGGAAAATTAATGTTAATATTCTCCAAAATCCTCTTTTTACTCCTTTCAAGGGTGCTTGTTAGGTTTTACTCCTTTAAGTTATCTAGACCTCCCTTTTTTCCAAGAGCTATTAGGAATAACTTTTTGCTGCAGAGGTTTTTCTGATTGGTTTCTAAAGTGTTGTAGAAACTAAGATAGTAGATCATGTCATTGCATTCATATCTGAATCTCACACTAACGAAAAAAAGGACAACTTTGAGCACTGACTGAGTCCTCCCACGAATACTTGGTCTCCCTGAAAAATTGAGCAATATTGCCCTCATCTCTGCATCATCTCTTTTTCTAACAAATTATTGCTGCTCTTAATCCCCCACTCACACAGGTGTCCTTTGTCCTCCGTGAGATGTTAGGTGCAGAGCCCTCTCTCTGAACTGACTCACAAGGCTGATTCTTCCCTTTTTCTCTCTGAAACACATTTTTAGACTGGATATTAGCAATAAATTCTGGACTGTGAAGAAGTTAAGGCTCTTCAACAGGTTATCCAGAGAAGCTGTGGATGTCCCATCCCTGGAAGTGCTCAACATCAGGCTGGATGAGGCTCGAAGAAACCTGGTTTAGTGGAAGGTGTCCCAGCCCATGGCAGGGGCTTGTAATGAGACAATTTTAAAGGTCCCTTCCAACCAAAAACATTCTATGATCTTATGTTTGTTGGGATGATTCATAAACGAAACTGACCAGTTAATATTCATTCAAAGAAAAGATGAGCAGAAATGATGCTGGCCAGCATCAACAGCAGTTTTTTTATGATTTTACCTAATAATGTGCACTACATTTTTTTATAGATATAGCAAATATCGTACTGCTATTCAGAAGGAATGACAGTCCTGAAGAGGGTAGCTAAAGTTGCCAAAACAAATTTGAAAGCTAGGTTTCCTTAATGAGACCTGCAGTCACTTGTCTTTCTTTTTGTGATGGATTTTTTAGAGTGAGGTTATTAAGCAGCCAAACTGACTTTAATCTTAAGGCATAGCATAAAAATTGCAGTTCGTTTACAATATTTCTCATTGCACTTGAAGTTATATTTTATCCACTGCTGACAAAAGAGCAAAGTATTTCTATTTCTGTAGCTCAACATCCCTCTTGGGGAAAGAAAACCTAAATTCTTGCTGTTTCAGCACTTTCTCCTAAATGATCCTAAGTGGCATGTGCCCAAAGGGGTTTCTGAGAGACAGTGCTCAGAAGTGCTGTAGCCAGGAAACTGCCTCTTGGAACAAAATTTCCAGTTACAGGTTAGACATGTAAGTTCCATATCAATGAATTATATGCTGAATCCAAGAGTTCTTTCCTCATAATTGCCATCCACATCCTGGCACATGCTGGGCCCCAGTCCTCCTTGTGTTCTTGATCACTTTCTTGTCTGTAAATTGATCCATTTCCTGCAAACATCACCTTAGCTTCAAAAATAAAAGCCCTCTGAACTGGCTCAGAGTTGTTATTAGTCACATCCAGAGCCACCAAACATCCAAGGGTCAGTTATCAACTGACCTAATTTCTAATTTTCCAAGGAAACAATGTTAATATGATATTGGGGTGTTTATAATAGATTTGAGTACAGTTATAAAACTTCTTGTTATTTACCTGCCTCTAATTTCTGTCCCACCATCTGTCTATGTTTAAATATCAAGAATTTTGGTCTGCAGATCTCTCTGCCCTGAATCTTAACGTCAATCACTGCATGGTTGCAAATAAAAGAATAATAAATATATACAGTAATTTATAAAGATGTAGGAATAATAATCTTCTAGGAGATAGCCTACAAATGTCTGCCAGATGAAATGAATAATCCATGATAATCTTCCTAGTTATTAAAAGAGATTTCATCTCGTTATTTATTTTTCTCCAGAGTAAATGAACCATTATAAGGCCAAGTTGTTTGTGTTGTTTAATGTTTTCATCATTGATGTTTCTTACAACCTGAAGCCATTATGATGACTCACATGCTCCCAGACTTCAGAGAGAAATGCATGCCACATGCACTAAAACTTGGTACATATCATTCTCGTCATCCTAAATTGGACATGTCATAAAAAAGGCTCCAAAAAAACACCCCACGAGAAAAGAAATTAAAGGTCCTTTATGACTCCAGCAGCTGAATTCATAGGATTAAAACCTAAAATGCTTTGTAGTGATGTAATTGTTCTTTTATAGCTCTGGTTAATTTTATTATGGAGAACAAGCACAGGAATATTGCCTTACTGTGGAAGGATCTGGGTTTCTCTTTATGGATTGAGAAGAATGCCCAACTAGCTGTTTTCTGTAAAATTATAGATTTGGGGGTTTTTTGTTTTGTTTTGGTTTTTTTTTTAATAGTCTATCAGCTAAAGCCAAACATTTTGTTTTTTCTGCTGATTTGTTTTTGGTTTAGTTTTTTTGTTTTGTTTGGTTTTGAAGGTTTCCAAAGAAACTTTCAGTTCAAGAGATCAAGTATGGGATTCCTGACCTTACAGATAAAGAATAAGAAAACCCCCAGACAATGAGATAGAAGAATTATTGGGCTAGAAGCTTTGGGAAAATTTTCACACATGTGAAAATTGACTTTAAGTGCTTCAGGATCATAATATGTATGAATGGTACAATTTACAGTGTCTAAGCCAAAAATTCTAAAATAAGAAAAACAGTCATCTTTACTCACACATACAAATGAACACATTCTGCTCCTTAATTTGGAAAATATTCATTAGAAATCTAGATGGCTCCTGTGACTAGTAGGCAGCAGACCATTGTTTTCATTTTATTAAAAAAATGTGAATGATTTGCGAATGTGCTCATCACAAATTACTCAGTTGCAGGTGAAAAAAAAACCATCAAAAAGTTTGTGGAAATCTAATTGCTCATCTGTAGTGAAATGGTGCAGTGAAAAGATTTCCTGGACCAATATCTGACTTGTTTCACTGTAGGTATAATCTTACCTACCTCTACCTCAAGTAAGGCAAAAAAGACATTGAATTATACAATCATTAAGGCTGGAAGTTACCCCCAAGATCATCAAGTCCAACCTCCAACCCATACCTAATAGCTACTAAATCACAGCACAATGTGCCATGTCCACTCACATTTTTTAAACACTTCTGGGGATGGCCAAGATGATGTGAGCCTGTTTCAATGCTCTGCTTCTCTTTCAGTGTGGAAAGCTTTCCTCAGATCCAACCTAAACCTCCTGGTGCAATTCAAGAATTGCCCTTCTCTTGTCACTTGTTCCCTGGGAGAAAAGACCAGCTCCCTTCAACCTCTTTCCTGGCAGTGGTTGAGAGGGAGAAGGTTCTCCTTGAACCTCTTTTTCTCCCAGTGCTCTCAGTTGCCCCTGGCAGAACTTTTGCCCCAGAGCCTCCCACCACTTTTTGATTCATCTGATTTCTCTGCTGGATTGCTCCTGATTGGAAATTGGTTTTGTGGCCACCTGCCACCCTCTTTTGAGCTGCACTGAGTGCCCTCTCTGCCATCCCGGGTGTCACTTCATGCCAAGCAGCAGAGAAGACAACAAGGTGGGTTTAATGACTTATTTTACTAGTGAAAATAAAGCAGTAGTCTAAAAAAGCAGGAGTGTCAATGTGAACCTCCTGGCACCCTGAGCAACAAAAGACACACTACAGTCTGATAAAAGAGAGTAATCTTTGCTTTTTATTGCAATAATGTCCTTTGTTTTAAACAATGTTTGGGATACCTGGTGGAAATAACATCTTCTATCTCCAAATGGGCACATCTGACATAAGGATTGACACTTGTTTTGCAGGAAGCTGAAAACTATTGTCAGAAGAGGTGTGTGAGAGAGCATATAGTCTGTTACTGGGTTTATTATCTTTATTTTGCTCTTGTTATCTGAAGACAATCTTGTGAACTTTTTCTTATTAAAGTTTCTAGTACATGAATGTTCCACCTGCTACTGATAACACTGCTATAATTGAAACTGTGGACATCTGGAGTGAAATGCTCTATCCTTTTAAATCTACATGAGATTTTTATACCACTCTAAATAAAAGCAGGCTGTCTTTCTTTCTTTGAACCAAAGACACAATGTATTTACTTTAGGATTATTAGGTGGAGATTAATGCCTGGAGGCACATTTAAACATCTACTTAGTGACACTGTGGTAAAATTATGGAGGAAAGACAAATAAGAGAAGAAACAGGCTCAGTGGAAGAGAGATCCTGAAATCCTCTATCCAAAACCATTTTTATGCACAAAAACACATATTTTCCTTCCTTTTCCCTGTTTTCATAGGTTGTTCTCAGGCATGTCATATTGCCATTTGGAGTAATAAATACTTCATCAAGTTTGTCACGTTTAAAAATGAGAGAATGAAAATGAGAAAAGAAAAAGGGAGATTCACAGTAATGTCAGTCTTTGAAAAGGTAACTGTTTTATCATCTTATTTTAAGACCTAAATTAACCTGCCCTAGTCTTGTCAAGTGCTGAAAATGGAATCTGGCATTTAAAAACCATTCACTTTGGTGATCATCTGTATTAGCCTTCAGTCAAGGGAGTAGAGTAGACGTTCCCCAGAATGAAATGTACCTAAATGTACCTCACAGACATCTTTGGGCAGGTTAATTCACCCAAATCCCTTCTCCTGTAAGGACAAGTGGTTTAATATTCTGTTCACTTTTGTTCCAGTGGTGTAATTAGCAGGGATATAACAAAGACAGTGAAGGAATAGAAAGACCAAATTCCTCCCCCTCTTTTTACTCCCTAGAGGCAGGTATGCCTCACATGAAAGCACAAGGAAAACACTTCAGAGGCACGAAACACCTGTAAAACTGCTGGGTTCAGCCCCTGGAGGACTCCTGCAGGGGAGGGTCCCTGAGCAGCATCACGCACTCTCAGGGGTCTCTGTGCCAGCTGTTCCCAGCTCCCCCATCCACATCCATCAGCACTGGCTCCAAGCCTGGGTTTTCCTCAATCCTGGCCTACCTGGACCACCAGGAAGGCTTGCAGCAGCCTGGAGCAAGCCACAATGTCTTGAAAAGAGTTATCTCTTATTCCAGAGATATGATGGTTGCTATGCAAAGGAAGACGTGCAGGTAATGGAGCAGAAAGAGTTTTGCTGTCACGGGCTAAGCAAAGTGATGGCTTTTTTTGTTTCCCTTTCCTCTGTGTTTCTTCAGTGGCCTGTAAGCCAGCTCAGAAAGCCCACACATCCTCTTCTGTGGCTTCTTGAGATCAAGAAGAACTCTATTTGTTGTCAGTTAAATAAAAAGATAAAGTTTTCATGCTTTCATGCACACACACACACACATACACACTCCTCCTCCTCCCTCAACACACATCATACTGCATCATTTATATTTCAAAAATTAGAGTCATGAATGTTTTCCTGTAGAGCCTCTGTTTTGTAGAAACTTGAAACATTATTTACTCAAAATGATAGGACTAAATTAATTTCAGATGGCATGATATTAATCTTTGTTGTCTGCTTTAAAGCCATGGCTCTAGGGCTAATTACTAAACTCGTGTGTTTTGGAAAACTGGCCTCATTTTTTGCCCACTCTCTGCCACCTTTTCCTCCCAGAACCAATCTCCCTGCTCTTCTACTCTGTATTTTGAGATTTTCTTATAAATTCTTCTCCCCATCAAGGGCTCAAGTTGTCTCCCAATTGACATTTTAGGACACAAGTCCCTTCAGTGTCTGGATTACCACCATGCACTGACAGATGAATTAGAGAGGCAAAGAGAAAGGAGTTTGGCACATAGCATGATAACAAGAATTTACCAATTGCCATGCAGCTGTAGTGGATTTCCTTTGTTGTGCCCCAGGGCCTCAGTAGATGTTTAGGAAGAATGACGTTTCCTGACTTTTTAGTTTTTGAAAGCCTGCCTTGACTTGGCAGCTTGTGACTTCCAGGCAACTTTGGTGGCATCCTTCCTCTCCCTTCAGCTTTTCCAAATGTTCTCTGTGTTTTTGAAGAGCTTTTTCCATAGCTGCTTTGAGATATCTGTCCTGAATTCTTTCTTCACTCACTCCTTTCCCACTTGTATCCCTCTTGCTTATGAATAGAGCTCTTTTCATCTTGGTTTTTAGGCCTTTGCCTTACAGAATCTTCCTCTTTTATCAGTGGCTGTGAGTTCACCATATTTTTCCCCATTAAGGCTCCATTGATTTTTCCTATGTTTTGCTCCTTCTAAATGAGGTTTTCTTCCCCCAGAGTGCTCGAAACACTCGCGTAGATGTTCATTGCATTTTATCTTAAGACACAAGGTGACAAAGATGAGCAGCCAACACAGCAGGACAAAGATCACACTTGTCCTGAGACATTGTCCCCAGGTCTTAGTCCTTCAGCTGTCTCCAGGAACAGCCACCCCTGGCCAGGCCTTAACTGACGTCAAAATCAGATGTATAAACTCAAAGAGAAATTAATAAATGCCATTACTGAATTTGAATCTAGTCAAAGATAATGTGTTTAATAGAAGTGAGAAACCCATCCAGAACTCAATAAAAACATTTTTGTTGGAGTTTGTATTTTAAAGATAACTACATTAAACTCTATTTATAATATGCATAATGTAAAAAGGCAACTTTTTGGAAAACTTCTTAGATAAAGTCATTTAAAATAGCTGCAAATCACAATCTGTGTTAGAGTAATCAGGAATCGGCAGGAGAAGAGAGATAACAAATTATCTTGTACTCCTTTTCCTCCAGGTCCTTCACCATAAGGTAGGTAAAATGTAGGGCCAATCTCAAAGATAATTTTTTTTCAGATGTAAAATTTAAATTTTTCAGAAGCCACTGTAGGGTAAAGTGTGGGGGACAAAAGAATTTTTTTCTTCTCGAAGTATCATGCAAGATGTGATTCTGCCAAAGAATCAAATCCTCGTGGAATAATTAAAAAAAAAATTCTTCTGAATGATAAAGTTCATAAACCACTCTGGAAGAAAATATATTGAGCTTTGGCGTCATTATTTCAGTTCTGGGCCAGAATATTCTGGTTTTCAACCAAAGGCTGAAAGATTTCAGTTTATGTGGGTTCATAAAGTTTCTTTTTTGTTACTTTTTTAATATTAAACATTTCCACAAAGCACAGTCTTCTTACAAAAGGAAGCCAACCTTTATAAACACCTAACTCTAACCAAACTTTACTATATCCAGCCATAGTAAGGTCTCCTTTATCTTCCCAATCCTGTAGTTCTGTTGTTCATTTTTCAGTTGGCAGGTTCTGGTTGCTTTTATTTTGGCTTCTCATCACTTTGTTTTTCTTTTTCTTTTTTAATTTTTTTTTCTTTCCTGGAGGGGATTGTGGGAGTTGTTGATGCATTTCACTTGATACACCTTGTTTACATTTATCTCAGAGATGAACACCAAAAATCATGTGCTTATAGTATACACATACATGTATACACACAGACACAGTGTCTCACACACACACGCTTATGTATGTATTTTTATATAAAAAACATGTATTTATATGTACATACTTCAACTAATGGTGTTCAATCTGTTCCAGGGACGCATACATTCAAATGTTTATTCTGCTGATATTGAAGAAGACTGTCTTTCTTAACAACAAAACTATTGTAAATGTCTCAAAATTAAACAACAAGCTTCGGGCAAAAAGATGTATGCGCAGCAAAAAAAAGCTATTACTTACAAGACCATATGTGCCAGAAGGCAAATACTCCCATGTTCAAAGACAGAACGGAGGAGACAACATATTCCAGTTCTGAGTCCTTTTAATGCCTCTCCCTTACACACACAATAAAGATTTTTGGATCAAGCTGACTGCTTTCTTTCTACCAGAGTAATCAAGCTCTACATCATTAACCTTTCTGTTTGCCTGGCAGATAATCTGGGAGAGTAGCAAGTGACTACTCCTCCGGGCTTTGGAGGCAAGCCAACACAATTACTCTCACCCTGTTCTTTGAGGTGGCAGCTGCAGAGAGATCAGGATGTAGAAAACAACCATGAAATCAAAGGGTTACAGACTTTGGAGCCAACTCTTCATTCATCTGCCGATCAGCCAGAGCTCCTAACTTGGATGACAAAACCTCGCAGCTCACTGTCCATGATGAGCAGTTACAAACCATCAGTCAAGCAAAGAATGCCTTCACAAAGGTCTAATGTTAGCCCTACTGTCCTTCCACCTGTCTTTATTTTCTGGTGCTGGTGGTTGTGGCAGTAGCATGAATATGTAACAGAGCCAAAAGTATGCTGTCTTGCAGATTCTGTTCTCCTAATATGTCTAGTTGAATAGTGTTATTGTATAAAGTCTACTGACATTCTGCCAAATGCCAGCTTCGATTTTTGGAAATGGTTTCCGCTCAGAAATTTTCATACACAGTCTAAAATCACTTCCTTACCAAAATGCTCTCAGCACTAGCTAGTGACTGTGGCAGCTCTTTTGTGTTGGGGATGTACACAGTTAAGGAGAAGGTGATCACCTGTGAAAGACAGGTAGCAAAAGGAGGTGACACCTGAGTCATTGTCCAGGATCTGCAGCTTCATAGGAGATGAATAATTTCATTACATGAAGGCTGTGATATCTTCAAAGGAGTTGCTGAAGCGTTCGGTAGGAGACAGAATAAATAAATGTATAAAGGGAAAGTGGAATACAGAAAGGTGAAGTAATTTATCCAAGTCATGCTAATCGCGTTGGGCAGAGAAAAGATCCCAGACTCTCTACATCCTCAGCCTGTATCCCAGTTGCTAAGCAACTGTCCTGAATGTGAGGGTGCCCAAAGCACAGTGTATCAGATGCTATAACATTGGCACTCTGACACCTCGTGCTTTGATTCATGCTCTATCTGAGGTCTAATAAAGAAAAAGAAATGGGCCTCCTTGTCTCTCTGTGGCTTTAGCTCGCCTGCATTTACTCTTTTATATGAAGTCCCCAAATTAGAGGGCCAGCTGAACTGTAAATTTCCTTACCAGCAGATGTAAAACATCATCACTCCAGTGTGAGTGGTGCCACCTCGGCTCCGAAGGATTGCAAGAAGGTCTCTGTCTCACATGCCTTAAGGAGGGTAAGAATGGTGATTAAGGTGATTAGGCTCCTAGCTCAAGATGTGTCAGCCATAGGCATAATATCACGAGATCTGTCTTGGCTTTTCTGTCTTAAAATTCTGCTGAAATACATATTTCATCACAGCAGAAAGAAAAAAAAAAAATGGCTGAAATGCTTAATATCTAAGAAAAAATAACTGGAAATATTCTGATGGACAGAAATGGATTCTTAAAATTACCAGGCCAATGTCTGGAATTCTTCCTTGACAGTGTAATTACATGGCACATCTGCTATAGCTGACTTCTGGATGATTTTCAGTTGGCAATGTGGAGGCATCCATCAACCAGCAAATATAGCTCATAGGCCTAAAATGACAGCTCTGCCTTGCCTAAAAGGCATCAAGACCAGAGAGATGGTCTCCAACAATGAATTCCACATGAATTTGCAAGGGAGCCAAAGAACTGATGGTGAAAGTGCTGAAGGGCAGAGTGAAGCGGTCCAGGCTGCCCTGCTCACAGCAAGGATTTGTCAAATGGCCTTTGTTTGCACATTTCCCATGTGCTGTGCACCAAGAATCACAGAGATTACCAGGGCACCATGGCTGCACAGAATGGAGAAAAGATGGAGAATGGTGTTGGAAGTCACCAGAGAAGAACATGAACTGGAGAACTTAGGCTGAGAAACCAAGATTTCTAAGGAGATCTCTCAAAGACTAGATGAAATCTTACCTGCATAAATCTAAATTGTTTCAAATATTTAACAACCACCAAAACACATGGGCATCTAAATTTATGAGGCATTTTTCTACTTTTTCTACATTTCTGTCTAAAGATACATTTCTATGTGAACGTCTCTATTAATGATCATAAGGACATAATGACAGGAGACAATGGTTTCAAAATGAGAGTAGGTTTAGATACACTGTTAAGAAGAAATTAATGACTGTGAGGGTGGTGATGCCCCGGCACAGGGTGCCCAGAGAAGCTGGAGATTCCCCATCCCTGGAAGTTTCCAAGGCCAGGGTGGAAGTGACTTTGAGCAGCTTGGGATGGTTGAAGGCATCCCTGCCTATGGCAAGGGTGGAATGAGATGAGCATTAATTCCCTTCCAACCCAAACCATTCTGTGATTCTCTGAAATCAAAGCCTCCCACCAGCAGTTTTCTGGAGGAGTTCTGGGAATGCTGACATTCACATTGGACTTGATCTGGGACTGGTAGTCCGAGACTGGGTTGGCTGGACTTGATGATCTTGGAGGTATTTTCCAACCCTGATGATCCTATGATTGTAATTCTGAATGTTATTTATATCTCCAGAGTTAGGATTGTACATGTGCATAGACCTGCCCCTTAGAAATAGAAAATATGCATATGTATTATAAATAATTATGTTTACATATACATATACATATATATACATCTACATCTATATATATATGTATATATAGAAAAATGTATATACATATATATACAAGTATACATTATATCTGTATACATATATATAGATATACAAAGATACATATCTATTTATTATTAAATGAGGGTTAAAAAGTCAATGCAGATATTATATTAATGCAGTTGAAATTGAATCAGGCTGCCCTTCTGAGGTTCTCTGTACTTTCCCAGTTCTGAATACACAGTGCCTCAGTTTCAACACAGAGGAAAGGGATTGCCAATACCTTTGTCAAGTAACCTTTGAGCCAGTCCAGGTTCAGTAGACCCCAGTATTTTCCCCAGCTTCTTCCTGGGATGATGACATGGTTAATTTTGATGGATTTCACAGAATGAAGAGAAAGAGAGATTCAGAGTTTTCTTATCATGAGAGATCTCAGTGTGTTGCACCAGCTGCCTATGGGAACCCTGTTAGGTGGATAAAGCCTGATCATACAGGATCAGGTAGGCAGAACAAAGGACATGCTAACATTTTAACTAAGGGGTGTTTTTGCCATTCAGGGACAGTGATTTCCTCTTTGTGTTCTTCTCTGTTTACCATGAGAGGTTGGGTTTCTTAATTTTTCTTCTTTTTTTTTTTTAATTATAAGATTAGTTAGGGACAAATAAACATTGGAATAATTTAGATTCTCAATCTACTTGAGAATCCAAGTAGAAACTCCACAGCATTCTCAGATGAGGTCATGAAGACATTATTGGTTTGATGCAAGATTATTCATCCTTTGTCTTGGAAAAAGCTCGCCAGATACTGAGAAATTCCATTTACTTTTAATCTCCTTACTTACTTGACCTTCATTATGAAAGAGGTAATTGTCAGCTTCAGTGAAGATACAGCACTTCCATCAAGCGAGATATGCATCCTTGTGCTATATATATTTTACAGAACAAAATAAAAACCATCAGGCTGAGGGTTAGTAAAACTCTCAACACAGGATCCTACAATTCATTTAAAATCTAATTTTGTAAAACTAAATCAATAACTGAACAATTATCAATAATGAGTTTTGCTATCACTGAAATTTTAAATAGTGCTAACTTTTTTTTTAATTTTTGTTTTTAATTGTTTGGATTTGTTTTAAAAGACTTGTCTTCTCTGCTGTTTGTTGTTTGCTACTGTCTGCTATTTCCATCATGATGCAGCAACAACATAACAATGTTGGCTGAAAGCCAGCTTGGGAATAGACTGAGCCTTCAACGGGTTTTTGATGCATGAATATTTTGCGGGGGCATTTAAATGATGTTTGTGCTTCTCACAGTGTGAAAAAAACAACACTGCCAGGTTTCTTTCATCTACTGGAAACAGGCTATCATAATACAGAAATAGTTAGCTGAAATAAGTACATTCAGGTAGCTTCTTTCTATTTAACTGTGCATCATTTACTTCTATGTTCACAAAGGAGGTTTTCATTCAGCTGGGGCAAAGTGCACGCAGTTATTGATGGTTCAAGTATTTACTCTTTAAAATGACAGTTCTGAAAACATATTTCTGTCGCCACACAGAGAGTGGGAGGGCAGTGGAAAGGAGGAGATAATTGAGGGAGCTGGAAGTGAAACGATGTTCATGTCTGTCAGATGCCATTTCCATTTTAATGACTGTAAAGAGGAGTGTCAGAGAGCTGCCAGACAGCAGAGGTTTGGGTCACCACTCATAGTGTCAGATGTTGGGGTACTCCAGGCTGGCATTCACAACTGAAGCGAGGAACGTGTCTCCTTTGCTCCTTCCCTGGGATGGACTGATAATCCCTTCAGGTTTCCCATGTTCCACAACCTAAGGCTTCAGGGAGGTGGGAACTTGTTGTGTTTGACAGCCTACAAACACAAGGGCATTCATCACACCTTCAGTGGGCAAACCTGCGGTCTGAAAGATAAATACTGATGATGTGATGAGGCAAGCACTCCAGGAGAGGGGGAGGACAAATAGTAACAGGTTGTACCAGAGTAGGCAGCCTGGCTTTATAGCCAGCTTAAAGCAAGGCACGTGTTGCTCTGATGGGACTGATCCTGAACCTCTGTAGCCCAGTGTCTCACCCCCATGGTTTCTGAGCTCTGTGTCTAAAAGAATTTGGGACAGTACACATGGGCCATCTCACAGATCCTTAGTGTCCCTCCTGCATGGTCATTCTGGTGCTGAGGAACTTTTCCTGGATGAAGTTTTTCTGGAAGCAAATATTTGGTGCAAATCTGCAGCAGCATTCTGTGCACAGAGCATGAGAGCTGATGCTCAGCATGCTCAAATATAAAAATCACATTATGTTAACTAACCCCAGTGTGAGCCACTAAGTCCTTAGGGT